GATGAAAGAACCTGGGCCCATGAACGGCCTCATGGGGTTCTGCTAACACTTAGCTGCTCACTTCTGGACTGAATGTAGTGAAAAAAGTTTCTATCTTATGTTTCAGGCCTGTTTAGTATAGGCCTATACCCTAACTGGAACGATATCCAAGCAAGAAACTTGAGGACTAACTCTTAGTCCTTCCTTTCTCACATACTCTACAGCTCCCTCATCTTCAAACATAAAATTTTAGGTTCAGATTAATTTAACCACCTTATGTTCTTCTCTAGCAAGCCCACAACTACTCCCCCTACCAAAGACCAAATCATGTCACACTGACAATATTCCTTCAACTGTTCTTGTCCCCACAATTTTGCACTGTTAGTGCACCCAGAAGGGTCTCAATACAACAAATCCAATTGTGTCAAGTCCAGTACTCAACAATTCAAGAGTTGATAGTATGCAAAGAGCTAAAAACGTTCAAACTCCTTGTGGGCATATACGACCATCAAGATATGATGCCTATCAATTTATCCAGCTTGTTCTTATCCCAAACTTCCTTTCCTATCCTAGGATCAGCCTACAACAAAATACATTCTGTACCCTATACATTCCTATATCTGGAATTTTGCTGTCTCTGTAGAATCTGCCACAATAGAAACCATAACTTTTATTGAGAGTATTTCCTTATCGGTCTTCCTCATTTTCCAACTTTATATTACAAGTGACCAGACTTGGCTATTCAGTGTCCTAGGCCTCCAGGAATTTTAAACCAGAGATATCAGAAAATATTGCCTCTTTCCATTGAACTTTCTTTTTCTTTTTTTTGAATTGGGGGTCTCATTCTGTTGCCTAGGCTGGAGTGCAGTGGCACAATCACAGATCACTGCAACCTCGACCACCTGGGCTCAGGTGATCTTTCCACCTCAGCCACTTGAGTAGCTAGGACTATAGGCACATACCCAGCTAATTTTTAAATTTTTTTAGAGATAAGATCTCACTATGTTGTTGCCTAGGCTGGTCTTGAACTCCTGGGCTCAAGTGATCCTCCTTTCTTAGCCTCTCAAAGTGCTGAAATTACAGGTGTGAACCACCGTGCCTGGCTTCCATTTGTTCTTTTTTTTTGAGTTGGAGTCTCACTCTTGTCGCCCAGGCCGGAGTGCAGTGGCATGTCCATGGCCACCGCAGCCTCTACCTGTTGGGCTTAGGCGATCCTTCTGCCTCAGCCTTCCAAGTAGCTGGAACTACAGATGCACGCCACCACGCCCGGTTAATTTTTGTGATTTATTGTAGAGATGAATTCTCACCAAGTTGCCCAGGTTGGTTTCAAACCCCTGGGCTCAGGCAATCCTCTCGCCTCTGCCTACCAAAGTGTTAGGATGACAGGCTGAATCACCGTGCCCGGCCCATTGGGGTTTCCAAGTTGGTACAACGCAGGGTCTTAGACCTGGTTATCATTTTAGCTGTCAGGTGATAAAAATCTAGTCTGACAGGTGATGTAGTAGAGATTGCTATTTACATTCCAATATCCTTGCTCTGCATTCCACAAGCATCTAATGAATGTTAAGTAAATAACATCTTGACCCAGAATAAAAACTTCCTACCTCTTCTAAGCACTTCTTGTGGAAATGCTAATTCCTTTTTGTGGATATATTCTGGGACTTTGTCACAAGGCCAATGTTATGTGACCAGAAGTGATATGTATAACTTCCCTTACAGGGCAGGTCATGCCCTCCCCTTCTGCTTCCTCCTTTTCCCATGACTGGAATATGGACATGAGGGTCAATCACCTTGGACCACGTGGAACAGGGTAACACCCTAAGGAGAGGAGAACAGGAAGATGGAAAACCCTGGGTCTCAGGAGACTTTGTAGATCCAGGTTGACATAACAGATTGGAATTTTATGAGAAACTTCTATCTTACCTTGTGATTGTCTTATATACATACAACCACACCGAGATCCTAATGTATGAAACGGGAGAAAGAAAGCATTGTCCTATGATATCTTTGTACAAAGAAAGCCCTGAAGATATTGAGACTCTGGATCAGGCTGTGCCTTGAAGAGAGAGCCATTGTTATTTGCTAGTTTTCCCAGAATTGACAAATAGTTTGCTCCCAAGAGAATATTCCTAATTAAGATACAGTGGTTCCAAACAGCTACAGTTGCTTTGGAGGTGACAGTGTAAAAGGTCTCCACTGGAGAGAGTAGACTCCCCAGAGTAGAAAATGTCTCAGACATGGAGGAAATAATATGCAAAATAATATCTGTTGCCTATGTTCCCTGCACTTGGGACTATGTTGATTCCACAAGGGTAAAGCGAGGAATGGAAGCTTATGGCATAGATCTAGAGGACAAAATAGCCCAGAGTCAAGGAAAGGGTGAAAAATCCACTGACCATGTGGTACTCTTAAGATTTTGCCACTTCTGCCAACAGTATCTTTTTGTTGTTGTTCATTAAACAACTGGTTTGTATGTATTTAATCATTGCAATGATTCTACAATTCTTACCAATTATCTTGGGATTTCTAGTTATGTATTCTGTAAATAATTCTGCTACCTAATCTTTCCTGCTTTATCATATTTGCTATAACAAATATTCTTTTAAAGTTGTAAAGATGAAAACGATGTAGACATTTTTAAATAGACATGAGAATTATAGATTTGATGAGAGGACAGAGGCAAAGTAAACGCTCTAAGAAGCAAGCAACATGAGTCCAAGAGTTCAAATCCAAACAGAATGTAGATATCCACATTACGGTTATCAGGCTTTAGGATTTCAAAGATCAATTTTCTTTTAAAATTTAGGGAATTGACATAAGGCTGAAAACTTCTTGCATTTCCAATTTATGAACAATAAAACAAATCCAATTGAATGATTTTAGTTTTACAACTCATTCATTGTGTTTTATACTTTTTCCTCAGTTCAGCAAATGACATGGTAAAAATGATATCCGGCAAAGCATTGGTTCCTGGTTTAATAAGCAGTGAGTAACAAACTGATTAAATTTTCTGACATTTTAAAATAGATCTCTTATAGGTAGATGCTTTTTTTTCAATCAGTTGTTTTCCTGCTCATGGATGAGAAAGAATTTTTTTTACTTCAATATGTTTCTTTTTTTTTTTTTTGAGCTGGAGTCTCACTCCTTCACCCAGGCTGGAATGCAGTGGCACGCACACTCACGGCCACCCCAGTACATTCCACCTTCTGGGCTCCAGCGATCCTTCCGCCTCAGCTTTCGAGTAGCCTGGAACTACAGACACGTGCCACCACGCCTGGCTATTTTTAAAAAAATTTTATTGTAGAGATGAGGTCTCACCAAGTTGCTCGAGCTGGTCTCGAACCGGCAGGCTCAGACAATCCACTCGCCTCGGACTCCCAAAGTGCTGGGATTACAGGCTGAGCCACCAAGCCCAGTCCTTCAATATATATGTCTAATAAACAGTCATGATATCAGCAGTTTGAACCATCTAAACCACATATCATGCTTTAAAAACTAATATATACACAGCCTTCTTGGATAATAGTATCACTGATATTTGAAAAACAATTTTTTTTTTTTTTGAGTTGGAGTCTCCGTCACCCAAGCTGGAGTGCAGTGGCATACTCACAAGCATCCCAGCGTTGACCAGCTGGGCTCCAGCGATCCTTCCAAGTAGCCGGAACTACAGGCTTGTGCTACCACGCATGGCTAATTTTTTTGATTTATTGTAGAGACAAAGTCTTGCCAAGTTGCCCAGGCTGGTCTTGAACCTGTGGGCTCAGGCAATCCACTTGTTTCAGCCTCCCAAAGTGCTAGGATTACAGGCTGAGCTCCTGAGCTCGGCCTGAATAACAATCTCAAAGCTTTCATATATATTAGCTCACTTGATTTTTTTGCTTTGTTTGCATTTAGTTCCTTATTATACTCACGTTACTCATCATGAGCATATCTGAATTTCAGAAATGTCAACTGTGACTTTGTTCTGAGGTACTCATTGATTTTCCCATCTCTTTCAGGTGGTCAATGTATATTATTTCTTTAGTTCTATTTTAGGAATTACTCTTTCCCCCTACAAACATTTGAGCAATGTGTCTTGTGGAAATGCTAATTCCTTTTTGTGGATATATTCTGGGACTTTGTCACAAGTGTTCTTACCCCAGGTGTGTGGATGAGTTCCAGATGGGTCATTATACTCTCAAAATTATGAACATATGAACATGCACATTTTCCTGAGGAAGGGGAAAGCTTTCATTAAACTCTCAATTAAGATCGAGGGCCCAAAACAGAAAAAAAACACTGCTCAACTAGAGGAGATAGGAGGGAAATATTAAACTTAAATTTAATCCTAAAACTAAATTTAAACTAGGTATTTGTTAAGTTAGTCCTCTATTTTTTGGTTTTGAAAACACCAATATCACACTTTTTTGTTTGAATTGATATATTGAATATATACTGAAAAGCATTTCAAGCTGGGCACAGTGGCTCATGCCTGTAATTCTAGCCTTTGGGAGGCAGAGGCGAGAGAACTGCCTGAGCCCATGGGTTCAAGACCAGCCTGGGCAACTTGGTGAGACCTTGTCTCTACAATAAATCAAAAAATTAGCTGGGCATGGTGGCGCACACCCATAGTCCCAGCTACTTGGAAGGCTAAGGCGGAAGGATTACTTGAGCCCAGCAGGTCGAGGCTGCAGTGGCCACGGTATGCCACTGCACTCCAGCCTGGGCGACAGAGTGAGACTCTGACTCAAGAAAGGAAAAAAAAAAAAGCAATTGAAATAATTTAGGCTCTCAGCTTTTCAGACTATAGGCACACAGATACAAAAGATAACTAAGGTCATTCTAAATCTTACAAATGGCAGTCAGGCAAATAACATTATATTGAACATTTGCTAAAAGAGGTGCTAATTAGCTGGAAAACTAGACTAGGATGTTTTCTTGTCAAGAAAAGGTTTCAACACTGCTAGTTGTGCAATTCACTGTGTAGCAAGGGTTTTACACATTTAACAGAACCACTGAATTAGAAAGTCAGGAAACCTAGGTTCTAGTACCAGTTTTATTTGTATCTAACCACGTACAAACCACCTATCTATAACGGTTAACATCTACTCCCTAATTTACAGATATATCACAAAACCAAAATCCTTTCCAAGAAAACCTCATTGTAAACCAAGACATTCCTACTATTTAGCCCAGACTTTAACTCAAAGGTAGAGAAAGACAAATTAGAGAATTTGTCTTTTATAAATCTGTGGCATACCTTATTTCTGCAGATGGATAATCTGGTTGAGATAAGCACTGTCATGTCTCAACTTTCAGAACAAAAAGCTATCAGCAAGAAGTTAATGGTGACGAAGCTGGCCCCCAAAATACTACTACTGAGAAGTAGCTTTGGATTAAGTACAGAGCTCATAACATTCCTAATGTTAAATGAACAAAATTTAGCCTTCGTCACTAAAGCACATTTACCCTTTTGAAGAAACATATACCGCTAGGGCAAGCCTCTTATTTCACTAGAAATAATGTTAAACAGGAATGCCTTGGAGACTTTTCAAATGGCCGATCAGAATGGCTAAGAAAACACTATTTGTGGGTTTTTGTTTCTTTATCCTTTCTCTCTCCTTTTTCATTCAAAAATTCAGTCTCCCCTCCCAGACCAGATTCCTCTGTTCTCTGCCAGAGTGTAAGAAATGTCAGCATTCTGTCACTAAAGAATAAACATAGAAGAGGAATTAACATGTCACTGAACAAATATTCAGGAGATAATTCTAAGTGGATATAGAAAAATTTATACACCATAAACATATGTGGATGTATACGGACACCATTTATCATATATGTGTATTGTGACAACCATATGTATTAATAAGCCTTCAAAAGGTAAGCACCTATATTTTCTTGTATTTAACAATGTCAGTTTTGTATAATTTAGTCTCTCTATTTAAGGACTTTCCCTTACATATGGTGACAGAAACAAAGACTGGAACATGGTTCATAGAGAAACATAGAACATATACAAATACCATAATAAAATAACCATGTATACCATCGCTTAGGGAAATCTTTCAGAGAAGATCTACTTTTACTGCTGGCCCCAAATGTCATCATCCACTTATGTTCTTCAACAATCAACTTTTAATACAAAAATACCTTCAAGCTGATAATTAAGAACATTTACAGTGACTTACAAAACTGACAGAATATTTCAATGCTACACAAAACAGTTCTATACATACTTAAAGTTTTAAAGTTCTTTGCTGGCACTTGATTTTATAGTTGAAATACACAGTAACTACTGATCTCAATAAAATACTGTTTTTAGCTTATACATATTGTTAAACCCAATATTACCTCACAAAAACAATAGAGAATAAATCACTTCCTGCTGAAGAATCCTCTAGGACAAACACCAAAACTGTACAGGCAAAAAAACTTTTAAAGACAAGGCATGACCAATGGATAAAAATGTACAATACCCAACTACATGTCCAGTGGAAAAAAGAATTATTCCTCTGACTCAATGAAGGCTGTATCAAGCATAGATAAAAAATATGAATTTATCAAATTATCCTTTTTTTTTTTTTTTTTTTTGGTTTAGGAGGGTCTTTGAATAATTGGTGACACTACTAGAATGGATTTTTTAAGATAGAAAATTGGTCACATTTAGCAAATACACATTTTATATTCCAATATAAAAACTGAGATTTCTTTTGAAACGGTGGAATCCTGATTTCCTTTTAACTTTCTGTGAGCTTGTAAGGCCATTCTGCACATTACCAAAATGAAATCACTATTCAGTAACCTTAACAAATATATGTAATTTTTTTTCATTGCAGAAGAAAATTGAACTAAATTTTAACAAACTATATTTAACTTAGAATACTAAAAACTGACTAGCTTAAAATTTTGAAACCTACTATTTTCATTATTCTGAAGGAAAATATACACCTTCAAAACCCAACCAACAAATCCTATGCCAGTTTTCTATTATACTAATTTTTTGTGGCACTAAGAATTTAAAAGTTAACATAAGGCTAAATTGGGATCATCAAAATATAAACATACCAACTAACCAAACAACCCACTGTGCAACGAATGTTTGAGCAATGAAAAACCACCAAGCATCCTAAACAATTATATAATTTGTTTTTGCATATTTTAATTCTGGACTTTTAGCATTGTAAATTATTAAGTAGGCTGATTTAATGGACTGCTTAAATTTTGTAGTATTTCAAAATATTATCCTTTCTAAACAAAATCTGCGGCCCTAATCAACTTTTTTTTTCCAGAAAAAAGGCCATCTTTTTAAAGATACATTCCATAGGAGTAGAAATGGTTTAGCTTCAAAATATTATTTACAAAGAACCCTGCGGATCCTGTGCATTTCGCTGAGGTGCTACCTGCACCCAGACTTCATCATCAGAAAAAGAACTTGAGCTTCCTGACTCAGAGTCCAGCTCACTGAATCCATCTAAGTCCCATTCAGTACTTGACTCACTCCGTGCATCATCTTCCTCGGTGATGAAACTCTGACCAGGTTCGAGGCAGGAAGGATAAACACGAGCACAGAGGCAAATAAAGCCAGAGTCAAACTGCAAAAGACCTAACATGGTACCTATATTAATCCACTGATCTTCCCTAGTATCATACTCATACACAGTCACTCGGTTCTTTTTCCACTGCGGGGTTGTAGAAGTGATGAGCAGCAACTTTTGGTCATGATTGACGATCTGATAGTTGTGGGTCTCTGAGTCCAAGGGAATATTACTAATCCGCCTCCATTCTCCTCTAGCTGGGTTGTAGACCTTCATGACTGGGATGTCACAGATACAGTAGATCTCATCATTGAAGACACAAGCTTCCTGAAAGTCACTGCGTTTAAGAGAAGCACAGTTCAGCCACATATTGTGGCTGGGATCATAGCATAGCATGCGCTTACTGTTGACTGCATAAAGATAGTTCTGAACCACTATTAGTTCAAAGGAATAGAAGGAATGGGGGACAGGAGCTACCAGTGCCCACTGGTTTCTCTGAACACTGTAGCATTCCACTTCTTTCAATTTAACTCCAGTAACAGGGTCTCGTCCACCCAAAATGTAAATGTAGCCATTGAGATATGCCACATCCATGCCCTCACGACACAGCAAGCGGTCTGCAAGCTGCTGCCAACTATTCTGGGCTGGTTTATACACCCAGAGGTCCTTCCTGGGCTGGGCGGCTAGATAGATGTCATGGTCTGGAGAGACACAAACGGCCGAGGAGGTGATAGTCTTAGTGTGTGCCAAGCTGGTCAAAGGGGATGGCATTGTGTAAATATCCCCCGAGTATGGATCATAGCAGAGAAAGGGATCCCTGGGATGTCCAAAGAAGATCACCATCTCCTTGGCACACATACCCAGTCTCTGGGGTGGATTTTCTGCCGCAGATACAACAGAGTTGCTGCTGCCACCGCCACCGCCGCCGCTGCTGCTGCTGTTGCTGGTGCTGCTATTTGGCTTTGGCACCAGAGACTTGTACAGCATGTCGCCACAGCACATCTGCACGGCCCCTTCAATGATGTCCAGGCAGTACTTCTTCACAATGGGCTTGGTCAGCAGACCTTGCAAGTAGTCTTGATCTTTTTCCGTGAAGTGCATCCAGCGCACACACTTGAAGACTTCCATAGCACTGGGACCCCGCTCTTTGGGCGCAGCCTCCAGCCACTGCACAGCCACGTGGCATACAGTCCGCTCACTTTCTACGTCCAGACTATCCAGGCGCAGGACAGCCAGCAGCTGGGCCAGGGTCAGATCCGCTAGAGTCTCCTCCCGAACTGAGCCCATTCGGCTGAGCTGCTTGAAGTTGTGCGCTATAAAGGACTGGGCCTGAGACCGCAGCTTGTGATGGTCAAAGGCGTCGGCAAACTTGAGGATGGCGGTGCAGTTGGCCAGGTCAAGGCGGCGGGCTAAGAACGAGGCACAGGCTTCCCGCACATACTCCAGCTGCAGCATGTCGGAGGCCGCGTACAGGCGCTGCACGTTGGCCTCGCTCAGGGACACGCGGCCCGTGTAGCAGTAGTCGACCAGCACCTCGAAGGACTCGGCGTCCACGTCGTGCATGGTCACGCTGGCCTGCTGGCTCTCGTACATGCCGCCCGTGAACATGCTCTTGAAGTAGGGGCACGCGGCGGCCAGCACGTTGCGGTTGCACGAGAAGAGGCGGCCGGTGCCAGGCCCGCTGCCGGGCGTCACCACCTCGATGGTCACATCACACAGCAGCCGCGCGTCGTAGAAGGACTTGAGCTGGGCCAGCAGCGCCGCAGAGTGGGCCGCGTCCTTCAGCTCCTCCGGGCCCGCGAAGAAGGCCGACACCGAGGGCTTGGAGAGCCTCTTGGGCCGCCTCCCGCCGCGGGGGCTGGCGAGGCGGCGGGAGCGCGGCGCGTCCTCCCGGGCCTGCATGGCG